TTCTATAGGCCGTATATCAGATCCCAACCGAAACTGACGAGCCAACCAAGAGCGTGGCGCTTGCTTTGCAGCGTGTTTTCTATCAACTACAAACATCAGATACTCCAATCGGCACTACGGAACTTACAAAGTCGTTCGGCTGGGATTCCTACGAATCCTTCATGCAGCATGATGTCCAAGAGTTTAATCGGGTGCTCCAAGACAACCTTGAGGGGAAAATGAAGGTTAGACCGAAATTTTGAGAATATTAGCTTATTTATAATTGAACGGGAACATAGTAGATTTAATGATGAACTTGGTTGACTGATTCGTCTATCATTATTGAAGAATACTAAAGCAGAAGCCGCGATAAGTAAATTGTTCCTCGGTAAGATGAGGAGCTATGTAAAATGTGTGCACGTTCCTTATCAATCATCACGTGTAGAAGATTATTGTGGTATGTATAAATATTTTGATTACTAGATTAGTTATAAACACAAACCGTACACTGACTGATCGTCATTCTCGTTATTAGATATACAATTGAATGTTAAGGGATGCAAGACGTTGAGAGACTCATTTAAAGATTACGTACAAGAAGAGACTCTTGACGGCGAAAATAAATACAAGGCCGAAGGATATGATGAGTTACAAGTAGGCTAACCGGTGCACTTATACCAGATAATGTTAGTTACTGTCCACTGAAAATATTTATTATGCTGCGTATTGGCGTTATTGTAGGAGGCGAAGAAAGGCGTTATATTTGACACGTTTCCTCCAGTATTACATCTCCAATTGAAACGGTTCGAATACGATATACAAAAAGATGCAATGATTAAGGTAATAGTATTGACGTGCAATATGCTCTGCAAATTTTTCATTCGGTTTTTAATTCATCTCTTATTCTACAGATCAATGATCGGCATGAATTTCCAATGGAAATCGATTTAGAGGAGTTTTTATCCTCAGAGGCTGATAGATCACAGCCCCATAAGTATTTATTGCATGGGTATGTTCATTTTCTAATTACGACATTTGCAACCATCAGAGATTACATTCGCTGACATATGGATTCCATGAAGTGTGCTAGTTCACAGTGGTGACTTACATGGTGGTCATTACTTTGCTTTACTGAAACCGGAAAAAGATGGACGATGGTAACATATTTCTGTCCTGTATATTTTAATATTCCAGTATTTGATTGTTTATTGGTTTGTTGTCGCTCATGTCATTGTTGGAATTTTCTTAGGTTGAAATTTGATGATGACAGGGTTACACCTGTTACAGAGAAAGAAGTATTAGAAGACAATTATGGTGGAGAACACTCTACCATCAGTCCACCTACCAACATCAGACCGACGGGAAAGATCGGAAAACGCTTTACGAATGCATATATGTTGGTATATATACGTGCATCCGCTGTCGATGAGATACTAGCGCCTGTGTTAGAGTCTGATATACCCGAGCATTTACGTAAGCAATTGGGAGCGTAAATGATTTACACGCTGCGTAATACCGAATTCAATCAATAAATTGTAACGATACATGTTATTTTGTGTGACGTGGATTTTAGGGAAGAGGCTAGAAGAGGAAAAAGCAGAGTACGAGAAAAGGC